CACAGCTGCCCTCAGTTATCCACACGTGTGTAAAGACATCATTGAGGAGGGTCTGCTCTCCTGGCTTAGCAATTCCCTCAGATACAACTTCAAACTTCCTCTCTAGAGCTTCCTTGTGTTTGTCTTTCAGTGTCTCCAGCCACCCTAAAACAGACAGAACACATGATAGAAAGAAAAGACAGAACACAGTCTGAGGCTGCAGGAGAAATCCTGTCAGTGTGATGTGATGGCATATTTCATACAGGGACATCAGCTATTGATGTTTACATTTGCAAGTGTGATACCCAATCAGAACAGATGGACACGGTCCATAGAATACAGTCCATCAGAGTCAGAGCTGGAGCTCCTGGTAGCAATCCTTCATTTTTAGTAGCCCTCTGATAGTCATGTTCTGCTCTCTCACAGACTCACCCTGGCAGGAGCAGAGCTTCCTCACAGGGAATATTTTCATTCCCTAGAATGGATTCTGGTTCTGCTCTATCCTGGATCTCAGAAAGTTTCAGTTGATATTAATTCAAGATGTTGACAGACCATTGTGACAAAAGGCAAATGTGTCATAATTCTTGCATATATTTAAAATATTTATCCACTGTAGTGACATGATTGTTGAATTTACTGGAACAATTAGAAAATAGAACAGTATCAGCACTATTGGCACATGGTTTAAAGGTACACGATAATGTATTAATACACAGTAAATTGTGCACAGCAAACCAAAATGAGTATTTATACTGTGCCTATAGAACTCTTTCAAAATTGTCACCTTTTGTTGCCTTAAAGTATGAATCTAACATCCTACCCCTCAACATCCAAGTGAAAAATATTCTACAACTTTTTTAGCAAATAGTAGATCTAGAAACTGAAATTGGTTAGATAAGAGTCCACACCCTTGTAGCAACGATTCTAAATTAGCTAACCTTCAGAATCACATGAATTTGGTTGATAAAAATAAAGTTACAACACAGTAACACATAGGAGAAATATAAATCAACTGCAATGAAAATTAAGAAACAAGGGCTATCTGAGTGTACACAGTAATAGGGGGAAGGGGTACATTGTCGAATGTCTGTTAAATCAGTGACATTTTTTTCCCCAACCCAAAACATACAATTACTGTATATATAGATTGCACAATGTTTTGGCCGTGGAGCCTTCTTCAGGTGTGAGGGTCTGGACTTCACTCACACCTGAAGAAGTCTCCACGGCCAAAACATTGTTTTCTTTTTAATCTTTTCAGCATGGAATAAACCTATTACTCATTCCTTTGCAGCCTACTGAGGAAGAATTTTAGCATTTGCCTTTTTTATTAAGTATATAAAATAGTGACTATTTTTATTTGCTCATATGCTTTTTGCTTAGCAACAATATAAAAGGATAATTCAAGCATTTTATTTGACCTTTTGACATTAATATTACAAACCACAGAATGTCTAGCTCATTTCACACCTTTTATTTATATACTTCCTTATGTCTATATGCAAGGTAGAACTGCTTCTTAAGAAGAACGTAGTCAATTACAAAGAAATGTTTGTAGAGAGTAGAAGAGTTTGTGGGTTCGAGTCCCACTAAGCCCGGGTTAGAGTCCCTGCAAGAAGGAAAATAAAAAGTTATAGTCCAGGTTAGAGTCCCGGCAGAAAAAAAGGATTTTTAAGTTCATGAACTGTGAAGCTAGGGTAATAGGTGTAAGGGAAAATATTTATCAAACGAAAGAGGCGCCAGGGATAATAATAGATTTTTGCATATAGTAGAATATAAATGTAAGTATATATAAAAAAAATAGAGAAGAAAACTGCAGAATTATATTTTGAACTGTGTGTATTACTTATAAGGAACTTATTAACATTTGTGTAGGAGACAAATGTATTTGGATCACTAAACCTCTGCTGTTTAAATAATATAGGTAGTTTCTTAGTAAATATGGGAAATAATCAGAGCTCTCAAAATGTGCCAGTACCTCAAAAGGGAACTTGCACATGATTTATATATGAAAATTAGGGGCCCATAACTATGAAGGATCTTTGTAAGTGGTCAGAATGGACAGGGGAAAGTGGAATTAGGAAAAAGAGGTTTCCTGAAGATGACAGGGATAAAATAGAAGGTTTAAGGGGAAAGTTAGAAGAGAAGGAGAAGAAAGGAAAGAAAGTGAATTGGAAAGCTTATATGTCATGTAATGAAACATTACTAGTGACTTTTTACTTGTATTGCAAACTATGTTGTAATGGTTTAAATTAAAATCATGTAGTTGCAACTGGTAAAAGCAATTCATCCTCCAAAAGGTTGTGCCTATTGGGCACTGAGAAAATGAAGGGCAAAAAAGAAGTGCAGGACAAGTGATCTCAAAACAAATCAAGTAACTGTAATAATGTATATGTATTTCATTTAGTTTTAAATCTGTTTGATCCATGTAACTGGCGAACAGTAGATAAGCCACATTTTCTAGCTGGAAACACAGACTACTTGAGGTGTTTTACTAGACGTTAACTGATTCACATTTAATGTTATTACTTTCAATGTTAAAATACGTTCTCTTAGTAAAATGTGTGCGTCTTGTTCTTGTTTGTAAGTTGTTTATTATGTGTTCTCTTCGAAGTTGGTTAATAAAAGTTTTCTAGCTTAATAATCAGTTTATTTAATTGTTCAAAGTAGTAAAATCAGTTTGTGGTCGGAGTTTATAATATTGGTGTATGCACAAATCGTGATTTGTAGTTCCCCTTTCCAAGGGATTTTGATTACTAAAATTATTTGGGTCTGATCATAGACAAAAACCTAATACCGCTAGAACATGCCGCAGTATGTTGAAAGATACCATCCAAATAATCTGACGCAGGATTGCACCACTTTGTAAAGCTGCCAGGTGGCACAGTGAATCCTTAGTGAACCGTTGTGCCTAACATGCAGTTTATCTTATTTTAATATTAAAAATTAAATGTTCACTCATTACTACTTTCCGGTGGTAGTCATAAAGTACAGTAACACTAATATATTTTTTTTCTTTCATCAAATTCAGTTTACAGAATTATTAGTAATCATGCATACACCAATTAGAAAACAATTTCATTTTGGTTTTTGATTGTAAAATATGTATACATAGTGACTTTAAAAACATGTCATATTTAAAAACAAACAAAAAACAGGTCAGTAGTTTTAAATGACACACAATGCACACCATGATCTCACACATACTGTAAGGGTTACAGAAAGGGTTAATAATTTTTGTTTTAAAAGCTTTTTTTAAAAGATTGTTTCAAAACATGTGTCTGTTGTAACTGGTAATACAATGGCGAATATAACTGAGTTTCTGCTGTTTCTTCTGAGTCATACACATGTAATGTACCAGTAATGTGGTTTTTCGGGGATGTACAGTATTATAACACAGGTTCAGTCTTAGCATTTTCAGTTTAGTGTTTCAAATAAAGTTTGTAAAACAATCAGCCTTTGTGTTGATGTTGGTGATTTTATAATACATTGTATAAGCATTCTATTTATTCGGGGAATAATTTGTCTTGCATATTGTTGAGTCACATTGTTAGGCAATATACTATCTACGGCAGTGTTCACAATCAGGATTTTTTATCTTCTAATTAGGAAGATGTGTGTAGGATTTTGGATACCACTCTTGTACAGGGCAGGCTTCATCAAGGCTTTATAAGCAGCATAAACCTATGTTGTTGTAGCAAGAAGTTACTTTCTAAAAGTTACTTTTACGTACAAACACAGTTGCTATTATTCCTACTGTAACAATTACTTAAATAAAGCATTAAGACAAAATATAGATTATGTTAATGTGTATGTAAATCTGAAAAAATCTGAAAAAATCCACTGTATTCACAACAGGCTGTAATAAAATAATTCTTATATATCCGACTGAGTAATTTTACTTTGTTTATTTAGTCATTTTGAGAGGCTGAGGTGGTACCAAAAGTCTGCAGCCCACTGAAGAAGAGGAAGAAGAGAAGGGCTGGGAATTCAAATTGGGAACCAGTTGCAACAACAAAGTGGAGGACAACTGGACCCTAGTGTGCCTTGAGCTCAGAGGAAAGGAGCTCAATTTGATGAGGGTTTCTAAAGGTAAGATGACTGAAGGGAAAGCAATGGAGCAGGATCTAGTTCAAGAGGCCCAGCTGTGGAGTTTACATGATCAGGGATTCAGAGCTCCACAAGGACACATGTGCTCCAGCAGCTAGGAACAGTTAATTGAGGATCAGTAGCTGGCTGTCGGGGTGTGGTTCTTACAGGAGCAGCTGCAGCAGGTAGTTTAACCTACAGTAGCTCTGCAGGACTTTGTGCAGTCAGAAAATATACCTCTTCAAGATTCCTTCTGAACAGCCTTTAGTCTTTCACAACTATCAAAAACCATAATGAAACTGTTCAAAAACAGTGGTTCAGATATTTGAATAAAAGAATATAAATCAAAATTCATAAAGAAAGGATTGGAGATGATGTTCAACATATACAGAGTATAATAAAACTGGAACAAGCATAGGTAAAAAAGATATTAGAAAGAACAACAAAGGATATGAGAAAAAATAAATGAATATTGTAATGGAGGCTAAAATAAGGTTTATTTCAGTATTACAACAGCAGGAAAACATTAATGAAGTAAAATCTCGGACTTTGCAGAGGCTACTTATGAAAACAGTTTAAGTTTTCTATGTGAAGAAAGGTATAAGATGTGAAGAAGGGGTTAACTGATATGGCAGAAAAGGGGGATAACTGATAAGGATTCCAGATGCCAGCTAGAGACACCCCCCCCCCCAAGGAAGGAAACCTAAAACCAACCATTAAGAGTGGTCAAAGTCTGGGAACTGTCCAAACACCGTGACCTCTCTCCATTACCATGGTAACAAGCTACATCAGAAGCGGCTGAAATGTGCTATATAAACTGGAAGTTTTGTACCTGTATTTCAAACCATACTTCAGTCTTATTGTTCCTTGCATGCAATAAACTCAGTTTTTTAAACTTCATCCTGGGATCCAGAACTTATTTGTCTGTTACAACATATGTCTCAGTAACAGGGCGACTGGATCTGGAGTGTCAAGTATACGAACTGGACACTAGAGGGAGGCCTATAGATACTCTAGGGGAGTACTGTATGTGTTTTCAATCAGCACAAGGTTATTAGGGGATTGGTGAGGGGATGAGA